TTTTTTAGCTATTTTTTAACTATTTAAACATTTTTATTAACCAATGAAAACATTTCTGCATAATAACATTTTGAACTCTATAATAAATAATATAGTATTTAATTTCAATATACAGCTAAAAATTTTAGGAATTCTGTAATTGGATCAAGCAAGATCTTGATCGATCAAAGCCGAGAATATGCAAGATTTTTTTGTCGCAGTCTTCATTTTCCTTCTTCTGTTTCACTCCGTTGATTCATCGTCCGCCCTTGCATTGAGATTCAGTGAGCAAATTCGCGGGTCAATTGGCCGAGTGACATGTTTCCTCTCTCGCGAGTCTCGCACACGCTACGTGGTCAGTTTGTGAATTGCGCTGCCTTTGCGCACGGTGCATCCAGTTTAGCTCGACGAGCGACTCTCGAGGGACAGCTCGGCCGATATGGTCGCCGCCGGACGTGCACACTTGAAATGCATGCACAGCGCACCAGATCTGCATGATGCGCCGCAAACAAGCCACCCCTTTGTGTCGCGGCCCTTGATTGCCAGCTCGTCCAATCAACTGCTCCTGCGATTCTTTTTTATATTCATGTGTGCGAGGACGGCTGAAAAAACCTCTGCTGGAGCCAGTGGGATTTTATGATTGCCTTTGCGCTTTGGAGGGTTTCATTTCCCTCGGAGGAGAAATCTACCCTGATTGAGTGGCACTTCTTTGGCGTTTGTATTTTGGCAAAAATAAGAAATGCTTAATGATCAAGGGTCTGTCATTAGATTGGTGAGGTGGAAATTGCTGTACAATTTTAGGAACAATAAATTTGTTTAAAATTTACTGAGAATATCAGATTTTTTAAATGAAAATTTTCGGAAATTGTGTTTAGGAAAATATAAAGTGTTTCCCCCACCGAAAAAATCACCTGCATGTTTGTATTTGGATGTGTTTTTGATGAGGCAAATTAATTGGCCCTAGTATGCACATAATAAATACATAAAACTACTATAACTATTTTAAATTTTATAATTTTCAAATATTCATATTATGCTATATTTGGGTGACAAATGTCTGTTGAGTGCATGATGATATATCTCTTAAAAAATCTTTATAACGGAATTAATTTTGGAATTAGCGCAAAATAATTATATAAAACTACTCCTATTACTTTAGCCCTTTTGCTTTGATGACAAATTAAGATCAAATTCTAGAAAAAAAAATTTTTTACTATAAATATTTAAATTTTATAAAACTTGCACATTTTTTTAACTAATAAATAACAGCATTTTCAACCTTTTAGAGTGTTTAATAAATATTAATTTTTTTATTATATTTATTTTTTTTAATAACCCATAAAATTTTTCATTTATACATGTTTTAAATTATTGAACAATTTACAAATTTTTATAAATTTTTAAATAAAAAAAAATTATTTTTATAGAACCATATTCAAAGAAACAGAAATCGTGACTATGGTCAATTTCCTTTCCCGAATTCGTTTAATTAGTTGTTTATAACACCAAAATTTTAAAATTATACATATTTAGGCTTGATTATATAGATATATGGTCTTAATATTTAATTAAAAAATTATTATAATTGTGTGCCACAAATTACAAAAAATCAGCCGACAGTTTTCATCAAGAAAATTAAAAATTCTTCATCAACAATTCTTCCCCTTACTTAAAGTCCAATCTTGCAATGGAACCAGGCTAATTTAAATGAAAAAACGCGAGCAATTCATCGTCGCCAGCAATGCCGGCTGAAGTGATGTAAGCGTGCATCACGAGAGAAGATGGGAGCTGAATTCTCGCGGTGTGATAAATTGCCCTTATTCTCTCTGCTCAGCGCCGGATGAAAAAGGGAAACATCTTTTCGGGCAGCATCTCTCTCTCTAAATAAGCGAAAGATGCGCGCGCTAATGCGAGCGAGGAGATTTAAATTTTGCCTTGTTGTGCGCCAGTGCAATTTATCTTTGGCAAAAAAATATTTTATCCAAACACGCCGGGTGGGAAAATAATAAATAAAAGGCGTATGTGTGCAGGTTTGTTAGCGGATTTGCATCAAGCGGGAAATAAATTCCGTTGTGCAAAGTGTAAGCAGCTAGACGCAAAATTTGTTGTCTGTTTGCTCGAAATTCGCGACGTTAATGCCGTAATTAATGTGCGCGCACGCAGACTTTCTCAGCACAACGGTCGTTTGGGCGAATCAGCATTTCCAGTGTGTGCGTCATCTTGAGGATGCGCGCAAATGTCATTCTAATTCGTTTAATTTTAAATTACAAATAATTCGGTTCACCGTTTAAATGAGATTGTATATTTTTCTGGAAAGTATATAGTTTGTTATTCCTCTAGACCATCACCAAATATTGACACTTTTCAAAAGGTTGAAATAACTTTGACGGAAAAAGTGATGAATTCATGTGTTATAATAAATTATAATTGAATTTCAAAATTCTCAATATCATTTTTAACGGAAACAATTCCTGGCTATTTTAATTTTATTTCAGAAATTTCTTCCAATCACTTTTTATATTTTATTGATGCAGCTTTCAAAGAACTGAAATAAAAATTTCTTTTCAACTGAAAAAATTAATTTCAATATTTTGAGACAAAGTATTGCGTATTAACAGAATTTACTGTTTTATTAATTGTGATTAACGCTTTTTTCTAATTATATATTTCCAATCTTTTGGTTCGGCCTTTGGATAAAAATTAAATTTGAATCAACGTAAGCTTGGTACATTTTATTTTTGAAATTTTTCTGTACAATCCTATTGCTGATGTTCCGATTTGAGCTGTTCCTTATTTCGAGTATGTAAAATATGTACACAAATAGTCTCTTGAGGGTGTGTTCCATATTTTAGGCCAATTATTCGCCGCAGCAGACACTCGAGAAAGATAAAGAACGCTGCTGCCGTTTAGGGACGCGAGCCTCTTACTGGGTGTTATCGTTATGTTTGGCTCATTATTTCGCCGACTGGCGTGTTTGCTCCGCACCGCACAACCCCTGCTGCCTCCTTTATCAGATCCACGGTTGTCGTCTGCACACAAGGAGGGCACGTCTGCACTCTCTCCTTGCTCTGGCTGCCTGGGTACGGTACACATGTTTTTCGGCAAATATATGCAAATTAAGCGCCGAGCTCGAGCTCACTAATGGAATTAAAAGAGACGGACGTATACGTGAGTGCACAATTTCCAGCTCTCTGATGCTCTATGCTTGGCACCGATTTTAATCAGAGACGTTTTCACGGAAAAATAAATGACGGCGGCAGTAAAAAGTTCCCTTTTTGTAAAACGTTTTGGAAAAAAATGCTTGGTAGGGTTTTTCTCTTTTGCATGATCCGCCATCGCTGGTCCACAGCACTTAGATTTAATTGAACTATTTTTACTCCGAGTATGCAAATCCTACGTAAAATATGCTAATTCCTCTTCTCTCAGTGAATACTAAATCATGATAAAAACAAGCCAAAATATAGGTTGTGAGAAGGAGCAAATAATAATATGCATTCAAAGCGTAATTCAAATTTTTGTTGAAAAATAAATTAATTTATAAGCAAGTATCAATTTTTGAAAAAAGTTTTATTTTAAATTGTATAAATTTATAGAACTCTTTTCTTTAAAAAAAAAAACACTTAAACTCAGACAGAAGATTTTTTATTATCAATAGTTTTTGTAAAAAAGCATAAAACGTCTTGTAAAGAATTGAAAATTAAAACAACTTATTGAAATTTGAAAGTAGTAATAATATGTTTCACATTTTTCAATAAAAAATTTGATTTTTTTCCAGTGACCATACAAAACTAAAAACCGAACTAAAGTTTTCAATTTTTTTTTAGATTTAAAGAAAAATTTATTATAACAAAATTAAACATCAAAAGATGTCTCCACATCAAAACCTCAACTCAAATTATTAAGACACTCCATTTCTTGATGATGATTAATGCCATAGGTATGAGAGAGTAATAAGTCCAAGACATTATGCTTTATGACTTCAAAGAGAGCACAAGCCATAAAGCGGAGAACGTGTAAATTTCGCCGTTTTCTCTCATATACTCAATTTCACCCGACGCGCCCGAGACATCTGCCATAATATATTATATATACAACCTGCACATTCCGCGAACTATAAAACTCAGCGGCGGCGGCATGTGCGTTATTATATTTTTTATTGTTTTTTAATAATAAATCATAATCATTACCATATATTGTAAAATTTTATATCATTGTCTCTGCAGCCAAGGTAATAACTCTGTCATGAATTTTATAACGTGCAAGAGTGGTTCGAAAACGGATGCCGGCATAGTGAAAAAAATTGTTTTTAACAATGATTTATGGTCCGGGTGCGAGAGACTGGAAGAAGAGTCTCTTTCTCCATCCACTTTTTTACCCGGAAAAGCGGCGCGGTTTCTTTTCCGCCTTAATTCCTGGGCCAAAATATAGCTGCATGCTCAAAATTGCTTCGGCGGAAATTCAAACGGCAACAGCAGTATATTGTATAAAAGTAAAAAAAAAAGTTGCGAACCCACCAGCGTACATGAAGACCAGGCTAATTTATCTTGTCGAAAATTCCATTAAAAGAGCGGGATGAATTATTGTTACAGGAAATTGACTAATGCTTGGAAATAATGGGTTATGATTAATATAACCTGCCCAAGAGCATTTTTTGTTTTTAATAATCCAGAAAGAGCAATATAAATAATACATTTTTATTAAAAATAATCACGCGCGCAGGTTTTACGGAAAATGTTAGCCTTTTATTAGAAAAATTATGGTAATTGTAATTTTTTTTTTAAATAAAAATCTTCTTTACTTTTGTAAGTTGAAAAAGTTTATTAAAATATGTTTCCTCTCGTTATCACAAATCATATCTTGATGATGTCAAGACAATATATTTTATTTATTAAATTTTTTATAAACACTTTTGTACAATAATTCCTTTATAAAAATATACAAACCGTGGCACATTTTCAGGCACTTCAATTTTCTTCATTTGAGCAATAATTTTTTTTGTTCCAAATAATTGGTCAGGTGAACTAGCAAAAGCCAAGGGGCGATGGCTGGGCCGCAAAAAAGGGTGGTGGAAGTAGCAATCCTGGAGGGAAAAGGGCAGCGGCCAGCGAGTGGTGCGCGGCCGCCTGCTGCAGAGCCTTTTGATGGGTGCGGGCGTGCTTCTTCAGGTGGTCCTTGCGGCCAAAACGTTTTCCGCAGGTTTGGCAAGGGTAGGGCCGAACGCCAGAGTGGATGCGTCGGTGGCGCGTCAATTCTTCGTTGCGCGTGAAGGCCTTTCCGCAGCCTTCATGAGGACATTGGAATGGACGCTCTCCTATAATTAAAAAAAAAAAAACACAATTATTATTAATAATTGGACAAATTAATTTTATATTTACAAATATCAAAAAAAAAAAAATACAAAATAATTTATAAATAAATATAATTATTTATCTGTTTGCTTGATTTTATCTTTTTTGCTAATCATTTTAATTTCAAGTCAATATTTTTCAAGTGTTTTCCATAAGTTCTTTGAAGATTCAATTCTCCATTCATTCAGAGGATATAAAATGAAAATGAAGTTGTACAAAAATATATAATCAAATAAATTTTGTCACCCTTAAAATTGAGCACTTTTTCCTTTGTGATATTTTTCTTGAATTCGTTACGATTTCGCTAATAAATCATCCTCATCCCAACCGATCATCAAAGAGCAGTCTTGAAGCAATAAATATTACACTGTTTAAAAGGCGCGCGGACAAAAGTGCCCTCTTGAAAGGCGCGCTATATATAGAGCTGCTGATATAATGTAACAGGCTGGAATAAGGGATGATTGATTTTAACTGAGAGAGGACAAAATGCTGTGCTGCACAAAGAAAAGTCGACGGTCTCTTTCCCTCTAGTCGCGCGCGCACAAAACGCACTGCAGAAAAAGAAAAAAAAAGATATATACAGCAGAGGGAAGTATTTTTCCGTCGCACAATGCGAAACGAAGAAAGAGGGAAAAGGAGCTCTCTTTTCGTTTATTTTGCCTGACGATGAAATTCGCCCTTGCGAAATTGGAATCTTTTATGTTACATCGAACTGCTCCCGTCTTGTTAATTTAGCACTAATTAGCTGAAAAAGAATGGGATGCTGCTTTTTCAGGATTATATAATTTTCTCTCGGGTGTTTTATATCCTCTTTCAAGACAAGTCGCATATTTCATTTAAATTTTAATATGCACTCGTAATTTATTGCTTGATGCTTTTAATTATATTTTCTTTCTCCGTATTACATCAGTACATTTAATCTCCCCGTGTTTAATTAAAGCTGAAGTTCAAACTACTGTCTTGCGCTTTTTTATTTTTAAATGCCGACTTAACAAGCTAACCAACTCGTGGGAATTTTTTGCAACGGTGTACATTTTAGACGGTTTAGTTTAAAAAGGAGCAGCTCTTTACGGAATTATTTATGTTCTCTCAGTGGCAAGAGCTGCTGGTTATAGAGAGAAAAAGAATAAAAAGCGAGCAGGAGAGTGTGTGTGACTTTCTCTCTCACTATTTCTTCCACGCCATTAAAATGCAGCATTTCCTAGAAATAAAATACGACTCTTTTTCTCTGCAACTTGGTGCGCGCATACGTAACCTTTCTTTTTAATATTATAACAAAACATTGCATGCAAATGAAAGAGCTTCATGGGAGTGGAAAAATGTAACGAACGTTTTATTTTAAATTGTTTTCAGAAAAAAAGGTGTATGATTGAAGATGAAAGAAAGTCCTTGTTAGAAACGGCGGCTTGGAATTTAATCATGTCTCCGCAGAAGAAAAATGAAAATATTTAGAAAAAGTGAGCCTCGAAAACTTTTTGTATGTGAAAATACTTGCAAAACAAAATTTTGTGATACTTTATTAAAATTACTTTTGAATTTTATAATAATTAATAATAAATTGCATCTATTTTATATTTTCCATGGATTAAATTTTGATGGACCCATTCATTTTTAATCAGAATACTTTCAATTTAATTATAAGATTAAGGGTGTTTTTTGAATTGAACTTTTTCTAACCTGTGTGTATTCGAATGTGTCCCCTGAGTTGGCCGTTGTTGCTGAAGGCGACGTTGCAGTGCGGGCAGCGGTACTTTTTGGGTCTTTGCTTGCGCGCCCGCAGCCGGGCGAGATCGGCGGGACAGACTAACCCCAGACGAGCCAAATCTGCGCGGCTCAACTCTGCGTACAGGTCGGCGGCCGAAGGCAACGATAAGGGCGACGAGCTCAAAACAGGGCCTGGAAGAAATTTTGTAGAAAGAAAAACTTTTAATTGACGTTGAAGTAGAAGCAGTAGACGCAATTCCAAACTATTCTGATGTTAAAAAAGACTCACAAGAAAAGTTGAACAAGAAGCTAGAGAGGCAAAATTTTTGGTGTAAATACAAAGAACACGCCTAGAAAATTAAAATGACCGATGCAAAATTGAGTATTTGAGAATTGAAAATTTTTGGTATTTACACTGAAAATAAATATAAGAAAAATATTATACAATACTATAAAAAAAAATTTAGTCTAGATTTATTTACAAGAATCGCAATCATTAAAAACAAATGTATTTAAATAACATGATTTGATTATATTTTATATTCCAAAATTGACTGGTCTCATATTTCCGTTGTCACCAAATATTTTTCGTTTTTTTTTCTTGCATTGAAATTTATTCAAAATTTGTTATTTTCAATATTGTGAAAATAAATTATTAAAAACAAAAAATAACGGAATTCATAACTCTTCATTTAGTATTTGTATAAGCAAATAATATAAAATGCCAAGAAAAATAAAACAAAATCATACTTTGAATTCCGTTTTCTGCTCTGAGGGGTGCAGCTTCCGTCGAACTGTCCTCGGATGCTTCCGAAGGGTTACTCCTCTGTGTCCTGGACGCACTTCGAGATCTGTTCCTTGTCCGACTTGTGCTGGACGGTTGCCTCTCGTCCCACGGTCTGAAGATGCTGCCGGAAGGCGCTGCGGCCGTGGACATGGTGCACATATTCTCTGCGACGCGGCCAAGGCCCAAATAATGAATGCACTCGCTCGTGTCGTGCTTCGGGGGCTGGGGCCGGGGGCCTGACCGCACGATTGGCGAGCCAGCCCCGTTCACACCCCGCCCCGCGCCCCGGCCGACAATGGGGTTCCCTCCCCGCGGTTTCGTGAGCCCCCTTTTCGCTCATTGAGGCGAGGGGCGAGTTTCTCTTTGCCGAGTGCGTGACAATGAGCGAGACCAACCCCCCGCTACCCCCGAACGCTTTTGTTACACTGCCCCACAAACACACAGACTCGAGTGGAGAGGAAAGAGATCCGATTGTGTATCCCGAGGAGCAAAAGATGCTTTTCAAGTATTCGGGCGACGAATAAAAAAAATCCTTTATAATTTTACCTATGCTGGGCCGTCTTTTTAATTAAAACGCGTGCCGCTTTGTTTTTGTTGATCTTTGCCAAACAAGCCCATGAGAATTTGTTTGCAGAAAAAGAACACGCGGCATGGTCTTCCCTTCCTGGAAAGCTGAGGCATTCGCGAGTCACGTTCGTTCGGCTTCTCGTCTCACTTTTTGCTTGTTTATCCTTCATTTTTACTTACTGCTATTGCGAGATTAATTAAATATTCAAAAGGATATGAAAATAATTATCTTGCTTTTCTCATTGTACGTCAAGCAAACATAAAAACATAAAATTTAATATGCGTTTTTTGCTCTTTGTAAATTCTGAGGAAAAGCAACAATAAAATGAGCCTGTTTGATTAGATTTTCTTTTGAAAGGGAAAATAATGATTATTTACTCTCCTTCCATTACTTTCCGAGAAGTATTAATTTCTCAAAAAAGGGCAAAAACGGTAAAAAGTGCAGAAAATGTGTCACGCAAGTTGCATAATATATTACAAAAATATCTTGCAAAGAAATCAGATATATTATTTTGAAAGTTGAGCTTAACATAATTTATTGGGCAAATACTATATATACCAAAGAGTTAAAGCTGCGCTATCAAAATTTATCAATCGAAACTGCAAATTTGGTTTGGATTGAATTCGTCAATTTTACAAAAATAAAAAATAAATAATAATTAGACCGTTTTTAACACTCAATAAATCAAACTTATCGTTTTGCTATGTCTACTTAATTTAGATGAGATAATGTATTAGGGAAAATTACTCTTGATATCAAACCCAAGTGCCTGCAGGCACTGAAGGCACTGTAGGCACTGCAGGCACTGCAGGCACTGCAGGCACTGCCCATTCATTTGCCCATACCTTTGCCCATATAATTTTGCCCATTTGACCCTTTTGCCCATGCGTGACGTCACACCGGAAGTGAAAAAGTGGTTGAACCGGTATTTCTTCCCTACTAATTTGGCATCCATCTTGAGCATTCAACAGAAAGACGTCAGACGGAGATTGAATTTAATACATAAATTTTAAATTATCTTTTCAATTAATTTGAAATTATTTAACAGCAACAATAATGAAAATAAAATAATCCTCTTGTCTGCTTAAATGGAAGTTTTGGTCCATAAAATAAAATCAATCTTCTTTCACAAATCCGTCTACTGGCCTCTTTTGTTTTATTCACCAAAGAATTAAATCGTTTGATCAATTGGTCTGCTCAATGGGCTCTTCTGCTCTAACTCTCTCTCGGGTACTTCTTGTAAGCTGCTGTTAGTCCCAGCATCTCTTTCTCGCCTCCGGGTAAACTAATTGCCAAAGTTCGGTCTCATCCGGGCTCTCCGTTTTTTCCGCTCTCCGTTTCTTCCACTCGACGGTAATAATTCAAATTTCCGATACTTCTTATCGCTCGGCGCGCGCCTTCGGAATGATAATTATTACACTCGAGGGCTGCACGTTTGTATGCAAAAAGAAGAAAGAAAGTTTTGCGCCGCTTGTCTCGCCTTGTTGTTCGCATCTCATTTTGCCCGAAGCTCTTTAAAGAAGCAAATTGTACGCTAATGAATGCAAAGGCTCACATACACATTTTTCAACTTGAAGACACTGAGAGCCATTTTGTATTAAAACTTTCCTGCGCTGATAATAATCCGCTTAGAGGAAATCAATATATACTCCCCAATGCAGCGTTACGCCGAGATAGTGCACAATTATATGAATATTCCATAACATCGATGCAGCGTCCGGTGTAATTGGTCCGCAACTGCAGCCAGATAATTTAATTACAGTTTGCAATTACCTTGCAGCACGGACGTTATAAACGGTCAAGTTGAAATACGAGCGGTGGTTAATGAAGTTCTAATCAGCTTTGTGCTTTTCCTGCTTTTCTCATCACTTAATTACTTTGCAGGTCTTCGCTGCTAATTGAATTCTCCCTTCCTTAGTAATCAAGCACTAATGACTTTAACTGTAAATAAATAAATTTATACTTTTCTCCTCTTCCATTATTGAAAAAGTTTAAATTCATTTTTAATTGGAAACAAGAGAAATAAACTCACCGCGTCAGAGTATTTAAAAATGCATATTTTTAGAATGAATAAAATTACAGTGGAATTTTTTGGCAGATGAAATATGTGTTTTTTAATTTTTATAATTCGATGGATCAAATAGACTATAGACTGAATAAAGGACTCTTACAAAATGAAAACAATGATCCGCTTTCTGAAAATATACAATTTTTTAACATAATTATGCGGAATTTTATTTTCACTGATTTAGATTCAATCAAATTTTTGTTTGTGTATATTTTTTTTTAAATAATTATAACGAACAATAAAATACATGCAAGATTAATTTTTCTTATGTTCAGATAGATTCTTTTCATTCTTTTTGATCACGAAGACTTAAAAAATGGAAAATTCGTCAAGCATGACCTTTGCAAAAACATTCATTTTCTTTTTGACGTGCTATTTAAACACCACGTTTTGTGCAATTTTTCTACCCTCTTCCCTTGCTCTCCCAAAAGCATAAATCTCCGCCCAAGCCGCAACATCTATTTCATTTTTCTGGTCACTTTCCTCCACGCCTTCTCGTCTTTTTTTTTATTTTCTCGTTGGAGCACCGTCGTCGTCATTTCAGGCCTGTATCTTGTTTTACGAGTGCGTCCACCCATTCGCCACTGCGTCTGTGTAGCCAAGAGTGCTAAAATTTCGCGTTCTGATCACGATTTCCGCGTCGCACGGCGGAGGAGATGTCAAAAAGGACGGACGGGTGACAACATGCACGTTCTCGTTGGCAGATATGGGCGCATAAGGGACTGCGGATTTGTTGAGAAGAGCGAAAAGGTCTGGGGACGAAAGGAAGCCAGTGGACCAAGTCAAGTGGATAAAGCACGCACGACAAAAGTTATGAGAAAACTTTTTGCGAAATCGAAAATCGTGCAAAATTTCAAGAAAGTTTGGCCGTTGATCGATGGATCAATGTTCCTTACGGCTATAATAAATATCAATAGTAGAAATTTTTGTTTCATAGAAGTGTTGAGAAGGTTTAATTCAGTTTATTGATGTTTGATAAATTATTATTTTTTTTAAATTGTGCATATGAGCTGCGCATTAAATGTAATTTTTATTCCCTCAAAAACATGACAAATACGGCACTGTCAGAATTTATTTTACCTCAATTAATTTTATGTAACTTAAATCGTGTAAAATATGATACAGTGTTCATGGAATTCATAAATAAATAGTATTGGTTACTCATGTTACAAAAAAAATCTAAAATCCATTGAAAATTTAGAAATTGCCTTAATTTTAAAATAATTTTATTTATAAAACATTGATTTTATAATTTAATCATAAACTTGCACATACAAAATTACCTGTCTGACAGATTTAAGTTTACTACAGGTCTATGGTTTTTTTTATTTTATTTTCCCTAACATAATATCATCAGATTTTCCTCATTTGGTTGACTTTTGAAGTCTCGTCTGCGTACCTTCCGCTTGTCGCCTTTTCCAGCAGAAATTCTTCTTTGATAGGTGAGGCTTCGAAACATGTCAACTTTGAAGTAGAAAGTTTTACCGTCGGCACGAACACATTTATTATATATTTTTGCACACCGAAACTGGGGCGCAGAGATCTGTGGGGGTTCCGTCTCATCAAAACGCCTTATTGCAGATTCGCACGTCGACGTCCGTAGCACGAGTGATGTGTGAAACGTGCCCTGCAGCTCTAAATCCACAAAAGCCTACCCCGAATGTAATTTTCAGAAATTAAGGGGTGCGAATCGTGACCTAACACAGACGTGAAGATTCTTAACTGAATTTTCATTCTCAACAGAAGACAAATAAATATTGAATATTAAAAATTAATTTAATTTAAATTATGAGCAACTTTCCCCCATGAAGTCATCCTAAAAATGAGATTTGCAAGTAATTATAAATACAAATTTTTGAGCATTAATAAGTTATTGATTAAATTATTTTGGGTTCTGGAAATTTAGATTTTAAAACAAAAACCTTCTTTGATTTTATCATGAGACAATCTTCTTTCTGCGAAAATGAAACATGAAAGTTTTCTCTCTGTTTATTGGCCCTTTATATTTTCAGAGAAGCGAAATCCGATGTGCGTTACAGAGGAATTTTCTGAGAATCGCGATCTTATGAGCACATATTTTCTTTCCACCTCCTTCCGAGTGCTCTCGTCTTTATCTGCCGGAGGAGGATAAATTGAAAGGGAATCGAAAAGGAAGCGCCCTATATTTCCCATATCCAATTCAATAAAACGCGCACTAAATAGATCTCGCAGCACGCAGGGAATTTTATTTCAAAATGAACATTTGTCAAAGTGTCGATACTTTATACTTCTCTTGCGCCGAGGCCGGCCAGGGGACAAATACAATAGGTTTCCACTTTCATTATATGGCAAAATGGTTTATACTGATAGCGAGAGTTGACGACAAACGAGCGCCCCGCTGACTGCGAAACGCGCGCTATTTAGCTTCGTATCACAATGAATGAACCGCCGAATGGCATCAAGAGAGCGTCTGCTTATTTTGTTTGGCACTCAGCGTTATGATCAAATAGAATATGTACCGAAGTGGAAGGTACT